ACCCCCCTCCATCCCCCTCTTGAAAGCCACTGTCGATGCTTCCCCCGGCGTGGGATCCCTTCTGTCGGCAGTCAGGGGGCTTCCAGCCAGGGTGGCAGTGGCAGTGCCCCTTGTTATTGCACACCTGAAAGCCCCGGGGCGGGGGGTGACGGTTCACCATGGGTTCGTGCAGCAGACTCCTGCCCAGACCCACATCAGGCCCACTGCCACCGGTCCCGTTTGCCCTGGCCACCAGCGCTCCAGAGCCAGGCAGGGGTGCGAGAGCCCGGCAGCCGTCCCTGCGCCCCAGTGCAGCTCGCCCGCTCCCCTGCAGCCACGCAGCGTGTCTGAGCTACGTGAGCTCCCTTGCCCTCCATCCTATATCCCGTCAGTTTTGCGTTCTCCCCACCAGCCCTCAAAAACCCCACCCAATCCATCAAATTCTCCATTTCAGTAAATAAAAACCATAATTCTATTTCGATAGTGGGTTTAGAACCCCTAGTTTAAATGGGTTTATTCCACGTATTGGCTGACATGGTTGTGATTTTGTAGAGTATCAGCCTAAAACGGGTTCCCCTACAAGGGAGAGCAACTCCGCGCTGCGACAAGCCCCCTGCCCCCCGCCACACCGCGCGCGCTGCTGCTGCCGTGACTTACGCCGTGGCCATGGCACTTCACTTTGCTGTCACAGTCGTATCCCAGGACCGAATGTGGGTGACAAGTGTTGTTTATACACACCTAGAAAATCCACGGCGGTTCCAGTTCAGCATCGTTTTACCTTCGTGGCACTCGGCCCATCAGTCAGCGTCCCAAAGGGAGTGAAAATACACTACTTCTAAAAAACAACAGCTTGTAGGAAGCTACTATCTCGGGGTTGGGATATATCTAATGCTTCCTCCTTGCCAAACCTCTGACGTAAGGTCTGCATGTTTTCACAGTGTTTGTAAATATCAAGCACACTTTACTTTGCAGAGGAGCAAGTATTTCTACAACCTTGTTAACATTTACAATTTCTATCTGGCATTTTAGATTATAATAAAAGGTTTTCTCACCTTTCCAGAACCACATTTTGTACCTGGCGGAACCAGAAGAGGATCCAGCTGTGCCGGCGCGTTCAAATAATCCAAAGACACGCACAAATGCTCGCGCACTTGGACGTAAACGACAGCGGCGGCATCTGACGGAAACGGAGTGCTGTGGGGGTATGTGCAGATCAACTTCCCGCATCTGAGATTCCTGTAAAACCAGTTTGCATGGGATGTGTATCACACACGCGTGTGTACTACCTGATGAAACAGCAGAAACGTTAACCCGCGCAACGCAAATCTGGAGCATCGTCAGAAAATACAAGCAGGACTGGGAAGTCCAAGAGACGATCTGTGATGTCAGGGGAGACACCACAGCATGACAAGGAGAACACACCCGTAACTCGATTTGTAGCTCCACAAACCTTACTATCAACGGGAGTTTTGATACTTTCCTCGTCTGTAAAGTCCCGATTCAATACGGATTTTTAGTGGACAAGTGCCCTTTCCCCAGAGCGTACCTCCACGCGCAGGACTTATAGCCTTGTTGGGGCTGGAACCCGCAGTGCCCAAATCTGTCCCGCTGACTGTTAAGTTCCTCATAACAAGCCACAGGAGCATTTTTTGAACCTACAAGGGTAGCAGTGATTTTTATTACCATTTAAAGGAACACAAAGGGACATATTATGGTATCTAATAGCTTCTTAATTCTCCATCCTGTTGACAGCAGAACATAGACGCTGCTCACTAATTAGAGAAAATACAAAACTTGTCCCTGAGCTGCAAACCCTCAGCAGCCCTGAACCTCAGAAACATGGGATTAGCAAACAGTAGGTTAGTTCACCGATTAAGTTTGCTCACAGATAATAATTTGCTTTTTCTTGCTGCTCTTTTCATTGTTTTCTCTGAAGAACTGGGAGAACTACATGCTACTGAAGTGCATATGAACCAGCGTCAAACCTGAGCTCACAATGCCTTCCTAAAGCTGTGTCCTTCCCTCCTCGGGTGCCCCCTCCACCCCTGTGCCCTCCTTTTGGGTCTTGCACCCACCCCTCCCAGGCACCAGGCTCTGCTTTCCCTCCTGCCCCGCATCCGCACGCACAAAGAGAAGCTGGGACAAGGCACAAGTCCCGCACGGAGCGCTGTGCCTCACCGTTCCCATCAGACACGTGCCAGTGCAGGCCCCCAAAACCTGCTTCAGTAGGTGCTGGAAATTGGGTTTGGGCTCTTGGGAGAAATGTCAGAAGGAAGTTACCAACCACAAACCCCCGTTTCCAGCAAAACCAGGCTAAAAAGACACCATGGACAGCCCTGAGGTGGGTGCACTAGGGAGCAGAGACGCGATCTGAGCATCGTTACTCCCGTGCCCGCGCAGGGCAACCGGAGCAGCCACTGGTACCTTTCCCGTAGAGGCGCTGGCACTGCAGGTCCGGAGACTGGCAACGTCCCTTGTAGCAGTAGCCGGTGCCGTGCTCGCAGCCGTGCCCGTCCTGCACGTACAGGTCGGGGGGGCAGGAGGCGGAGGACCCGTTGCAGAACTCGGCCAGGTCACACTGCGCGTCGGCGGCGGGGCGGCACTGCGCGTCCTTCTGCTTGAACTGGCACAGGAGGCAGGAGGGACACTTTTCCCCATCCTTCCGCTCCCACCAGCGTGGTCCCCTCTCCCCTGGGACACATCCCCGGCCCCTCGGGAGCAGCTCTGGGGCGCTGGGGTCACCACATGCCTGTCACACTGCCCAGGACAGTCTCCCCCCAGCGATATTCCTCACGGGGGTTTGGGGAGCTGAGCTGGACAGCCCTACCCCAGGAACCTCATCTCCATCCTTCAGCATGGAAATGTACTGTTTCTCCCAAATAAATACCGATGTTGTGATAACGATAAAACTGTGCCTTACCTGACATTCACTGCAGCATATTCCAGAGGAACATTTCGCTCCTGGCTTAAACCGACACGCTGTAGTACAGCATTTATCCTTCAAGCATGCCTGGGGGGACATCGCAAACCCACCGTATTCCACTGTTGCATTCCTCAGTGTGTTTCACTGAGGTTGTCCCCATCCCTCTTATGCCCAAAACGCTGCGCTATCCAGCAATATCTAGCGGGAGGACGTAGGCAAAGCTCCCAAGAGATCAATGCCAATATGGAAACGATCTAAAACCAGATGTAATCCTTCTTGGGCCAGCCTCTACTTCAGCCGTGCCCTCAGTCCAGGGGCTCGTTATTCTCAGCACACAAATGTACGCATTCAGCCCTCATTCCCGCGACACCCACCTCGGCCGCCCCGCAGTCGCACTGCTCGCCGGGCTCCACCACGCCGTTGCCGCAGACGGATGCTCTCCGGGAGGACGGTCCGGTCAAACGGGGTGCATGGAAAAGGCACTCGCCTCCTTCGCGCTTCAGGAAGGTTTCCAAGTCCCTGATGCTGCAGTTGCTGAAGGATTTTGCCCCACCAAAACGTCTGAAATAAAGCAATTACCTGTTTACACCGTAACACCGTAGCACCGGTCACTCTCAGCATCTCTGTGCCGTTCAAGGACTTGGCCAGAGGCTGGAACACGTCACCAGGGTCCCCTGGGCATCTCAGCTCATTTGCCAAACCCGATTTTACAAGTCATTATTAACAGAGACTGACAAACACTCGGAAATGTCTTACTTTCAGAGAGAAAAGGTCTTTTTTTGAAACGAAGCATTAATTCACTAATGCAATTATTTTTTTTTCCTTCTTAAAGGAATAAAAGCAAATATTTCTGATTTGTTGTAATTTTTGCAACAGAAGTACATTCACCGAATGCATCTCTGACAGGGGACACCCCGTGACCATCCCACTGGCCCAGTGGCAGGTGACACGGGGCTGCACAAGAGGGACAGGATCCAGCCACGGCTGAAGG